CCTGGAGATGGTGAATAGGAGCAGCCATCCACATCATGGCATAGATCAGTCCCTTTCTGGAGCTGGGGCTTGGGGAACTACACCCCAGAGTTCAGTTTGAGAAAATTATTTGACATCCAGATCTTGATGTCTTCAAAGCAGTTGACCAGGGACAGAGGAGGGAGCTGATTGGAGGGTTTGGTGCTAAGATACACCTGTGGAACATGTGACTGTGTTCATGTTAATGAACACACAGCTGCAGTGGGATTTTACATGTCAGCAGACATTGTTATTTGTCCTCTTTGCTTCACTGTGTGTCCTCAGGTTCTCAGGAGCGTCAGGACAAGCTGAGGGAGATGGGCTTTGTGGACATCCTGCACAAACTGACACAATCCTCTGACCCCAACCTCAGTGACAGGTGGGCCAGAACAGTGCGTCACAAAAAAGAAAATATCCTGTCAGACACTCATTTAGCCTGCTGGACTCATTCTGTGTCTCTTTTCAGAGCGAAGACAGCATTGCAGCAGTACCTAGCATGACTACAGTGGGCAGCCATCGCCTTCTGCCAGCCTGACTAACAAATGTGTGGAGGACACCTGGCTCCTTCGTTATTTGTTTCAGTTAAAGTGCCCCTATTATGCTGTTTTTAACTAATAGGATTACTTTATATTTTGCACTCCTGCAGCGCCTCTTCTCGTCGTCTGAGCCCAGTCTGCTCCACTTGATCCACTGCTATAACAGAAGCAAGGCAGCGTTTTTGTGCCCAGCCAGCATAGCCCTTTAACAGCTGCCAACTTAGAACGCGTTAGCAGTGGCCACTTCAGAAAGACACGGCAACAGCATCAAACATAATACAGCTGTTCTCTTGAAATTGTATAAATGTTAATTACAACAGTAGACAGAACAATAGAATATGTCCATTAGAACAGTGTTACTGGGAATTTTCCTCTATTTAATGTAATTATGTCAAAGTCATTTTACAGGACAAATAAAACCCCACTTTCTGCCACACAATTCATTTCCTGAGATATGTTAGGATAAGATGAAGAGCACATCTGAGTTTTTCTACATGATAAATATGTAAAAATACAGAAAAGTCCTGGTAGCTCACCGCACAGACTGTCCTGTATTTATAAAACAAAGTTTTTGTTAATTAATGAATTTAAGTTAAATTGAAATTTCTACAGTAGACAGTGGAAAAACAGGAACTTTTCTGTCATGTAATTGTTTATTTATTACTTAACTACTCTGGTCCAGTATAAAGGGCTGTGGGGGAGGTCTTTATCAGCAGGAGAATCTGTAAAACTTTAAAAAAAAATACAGTTAAAAGTCCAAAAATGCATGCCTTCCTCCATATTTTCCAGAGCCATCCAGTGGGACGGATTGGCATCTTTGCCAGGCCGATTCAGGTCCCCATAGTTTGACACCACTGCCTTAGAGGGTAGGATAGAAGCTGACGGGTATCGTGAGCATATTAATGCTCGTGTTTTAGCCAGAAACAGACGATACCGTGTGCTTTGCTAGTATTGGAGATATTTTAGAGTTATCACAGCAACCCTAGCAACAAAATAATGTCCCACGGCGAAGGAGCATGTGGAGGGCGGGTGTTTCTTTGTTAGAGTGCTCCACACTAGCAGCTAGGCAGGATTTATTTAAACATGTTACACAGTGACATAGATCAGAAACGTAAGGAAAAGCTTGGACTACAAACAAGGTGTTTTAGCAAACCCCAGAAAGGCTAATAGGGGCACTTTAATGGTGAGGCCTGTTTTGTTGCACAAAGACACCTTTTTTTTTGGACCTGTGGCTGACCTCTCTTCACTTCTCCAGTACAAACACCTCAACCCAGCCTCAACAGTTCGGCGCCAGCTCCACGGCGGAGACTCTGAGACTGCAGTTGTTGTGAAATCAACGGTTAGGGGAGTTTCACCCGATAGGTTTTATTTTATTCTTCTCTTGAAGTGAATCCTTGGATTTGGATTTTGTGATTTGAGATTTGCAGACTTTATTTTCTTTCTGTTTTTGGAGTGCAGCTGCCTGACGTCACCGCTAATTTGGAGCCTTCAGACTCCCAACAGTGGAGATTATGGTTTCAGAGCACGGCTGACGGACAGCAAAGTTTCCCAGTTGTATTTTTTTTAATTTTTGACTAAAATTACTATTAATATTAATGTTTCCTTAAGGCATCGCAAGTAAGGACTCACTTGGAAAAACACAGACTGCCTATTTTGGAATTTCTTTTCTTCTTTGTGGATACATACCTCGTAAATATATAAATATATATAAATATAAACAAATATATATTTTTGGATTTTTATTTTCCCCTGCCCCTCATGTTTTTCAGTCGATCCCTCTGAACCATGATTTTTGGCACAGTCGGGAGAATCTACTGCACTCTAAATATCTGTCGAACGCTGAACGTGGTCTCTGGAGGATAATCGGGAATGAGCATTTCTCCTTTCAGGTGTCGTCGCTGTGATGGTGCTGCTCGCGTAGAAGCCTGTCACTTCTGTCCAGTAACCTTATTTCCAGTAACCATTTCTCATGATCCCACTGAGAAATGTAGTGCTTACACAGACCTGCGGTTATTAATTACACCCAACACCTGGAAAAGAGGATTAATGTATCCATCCCTCACACCTCCTATCGAGAAAGACCCGATGTCTGCTGCTCTCTGCAGTCCCCTGCATGTGTTTGTCAGGAGGGATAAATGAAATTCCCAAACCTCCAGCTTTCTCTCCCTTGATGTGTTTTTGAGAGGCGAGTGAGGACAGAGTAGATGTAAGAAATAAAGTAAATCATTTGACACTAAGGCATGAGTACATGCACTACAGCAGAATCAAGTGCTACATTGTTTCTCCACCCTTTTGTTATATAATTTCTTCTCCGATCAGGATATTTCTAGAACGTTTCTCCTGACATTTCAAACCTTACTGAAGCTCTGATAGAATGAATGTTACCCTTGAGAATACATGCAGATCTGAAGGAGTTCCTGTGTTGTGTCTTATTTCTTCTTGGAGAGTCTGCTGTATTAAAAATCCCACCGGTTTTGTTCTTCTTTTTTTTTTTCTTTCTAACTTATTCTTTGTTAGTTAGGGGTTGCTTCATGGATTTGAAATAAACCATTAGAATGTGTTACAGACTTGTTGCTGCTGCACACAGTAATGTCAGAGTGGGAATGTGATGCTGACCTGACAGCAGACTTGCAGTCACATGTGAAAAAGAATGATGCAGAGTCCTCCCAGGAGTGGATGTCCCAGTAAATTCAAGCCAAGGTCTCAGACTACACATCCATATTAAATACAC